CTGTGTTACACTTGCTACCAGAGAGCAGCAGGACGAGATTCTGGGATTGCACAGCCAGGGCAGAGCTGGGCTCAGACCTTGCCTGAGTGCCTGGGGCTCAGGTTTTGGCTCCAGGAATGCTTTCAGTGCACAGCAGCTCAGAAGTGATTTTAACTAATACTTCCTGTATGAAAACTTCATTACTCTTCCACTTTTATCTGAAAATGGTGATGGGAACCCAGAAATGTCACATCTCAGTCTGCTCAGCTCCCTCACAGGGTGCAGCCCTGCAGATCTTGTTCCCAAGGTTAGAGCAGGTTCTATGGTTAACAAAGGTTAGAACTGGTTCTATGATTAACAAGGCTAGAGCTGGTTCTGTGATTAACAAAGGTTAGGTTAGAGCTGTGATTAACAAGGCTAGAGCTGGTTCTGTGATTAACAAAGGTTAGAACTGGTTCTATGGTTAACAAGGCTAGAGCTGGTTCTATGGCTAACAAGGTTAGAGCTGGTTCTGTAATTAACAAAGGTTAGAGCTGGTTCTGTAATTAACAAAGGTTAGAACTGGTTCTATGATTAACAAGGCTAGAGCTGGTTCTATGGCTAACAGACTGCCAGCTGCTCCTCTGCCTGCAGAGGTGTGCAGATGTGGTGAGGTGTGGAGAAATAGCTAGAGCAATTATATCTTGAAAAATTAAAGATTGGAATTTAGATGAGAAGAGTTTTTCATCTTCTTTAAATAAACCTTCCCTTTGTATCCTTAAGGTACACATAAAAGAAAGATTTCTTGCTATTTTGTGACACACAGAGGTTATTAACATTTATCATTCACGACAGAATTATAAATTACATCATTTTGGCGCTGGCTTACATCATGTTTGCCTTTAAAAATATTTTCATTATATCTGTGTTATGCTTGGCTGCCTCCATGTCATGGATAGTTATTGCTGCAATTGCCCTTGTTCACACAATTTTCCTTCTCAATAATCCCATATGTTCTTGGAATGCAGGGGCCATATTTCATCCTGTCGAGGATGATTTCCACCCTGAGTGTGCCACCTGCAGCAGGTGCTGCCACCCAGCAGAGCCCTGCATCTCCACCCAGGAATTCCATCAGCTCAGGGCTGCTCCCAAAGAGCTGCTCCAGCCTCTCATTTACCAAAGAGAAACGAAATTTCCTCTCAGCCCTGTTGTTTTCTGTAGCTACTGAATAAAACCAGGCTGGATCTGGCACTGTGTGTGCTCCTCTGAGCATTCTCCAAGCTAAGCATTTGCTGATATTTACTCACAAACAGAGAATAAAGCATAAAACGGTTCAAGACAAAAAAAAAAAAAAACCCAAACCAAACACACACAAAAAACCAGACCAAAACTGCAGCACAATTAGCAGCTCTGCCATTGCAAAACCCTGGTTTTAGTTCATGCTCATAATATTCTGGAGGAAAATGCAGAATGAAACAAAACCAAGTTTTTTACCCTCTAAAAGTATCCCAAATTAGGCAAATATCAAATGCTTCTTGGAGAACTTGGGCCTTATATAGTAGGCTTTAGACAACTTAAAATTCACATGATGTTCACTGTAAATGTTCCCTTTGGGTATTTTTGTTTCAGATTCTGCACAGGTCACCTAAATGTGACTCTTGTGTGATGTCTTCTCACTTAGCCAGTCACGTCTCACTAATTTGTGATAGTTTGCCATCTCTAGAAGGAAAGAAAGAAATGAGGGGGAAATGCATGAGCATGGAGGGAAAAGGCAAAGCTCAGCACTCACCCCAGCCTGTGGCCCTTCCACCCTCTCCTGGTGGCTGTGTGGGAGGTTCAGGTTCTGAAGCTTTTTGCAGCAGCAGCAAGGAGCACAACTGATAAAAAAATTCTCTGTGGTGAGCTGAATATCGTGCCTTTAGATTGCATACTGTGCATTAAAATCTCTGCAGTGTAGTCAGTGGAACACCCTGCCTGTTCACCTGTCAAACCAACATAAAGCATGCAAAAAGCAGCCCAGAATTAGTCCCTAAAAGCCTGACTATCCATTATTTGGTGTTTCACTGCTTCCTCCTCTTCAGGAGTGAACTTCTCCCAGCTGAATGCAGAGGTTTCCCCATGGCAGGTGGAATTTGCACCCCAGGGGGAGCAGGGAGAGCCAGGCTGTGTTACCTGCCTGTGATACCTGTGTCACCTGTGTCACCTGCCTGTGCCTCCTCTCTGCACAGGGAGCTGCTGCTGCTGCTTC